ATGAATAAAAAAAAATATATATTTTAAAATCAAGTCTTAAATTTTTTTTCTGTTAAGAAGGAATTTTATATTTGACACAGAGATCACTCTGTATCGATATTCGACATTCATAATCTCGAGATAAATTAAATCAGATTACATAATTGAAGGATAATTAGAAAATATCATCGTTATGCCGTCATTTATGCGCTCGCAACAATTATTATTGACATTGACATCGTTTCCCCGATATATCAAACTCATTATGCGTATTAGCGTCGAGATTAAATGTGCACATTCCAAGGCCTCGATAAGTTCGATCTACTTGCACAATTTGCCGCGGCTGCGTGGAATCAAATTGCCGTCAAGGAAAGCGAGAAAATTACGATCGTAAATGGAGAGAACGGCGCGTAATAGATATATTTCTCATACAGTTGTCGGGCTTTCTGATTCCTGATTTACGATCAACATCGCAATCTACATTTCATAGTATCGCGCGACTTACATATAATAGCAGCGCTTATTAAATATAGCGTTCAATGAATAAATCAGAATCAATGAAAGTCTATATACTTCGTACAATAATTCATTGATTTTATTTTTCTCAAACCTATCTGCTGATTTCTTTATGCTTTTAATGCAACTTTGTGAGACAGATTGCGACCGTCGATTTAAACACATTTGCGATTAATTAAAAAGTAACGTTATTATATGTGTAATATGATTTTCGACAAGAGAAATAACCTGGAATAATAAATATCTCGCAACAGGATGGTCATTGAAAGACCTAACACTGAAAAAAAATATACTAAATCCAAAGAAAATTTTTTTGATTAAAGACAATTATTTATTTAAATACTTATAAAGAAATTAGTTATTTTAATCAAGCAGCAAATATATTTGAATTAGTAAAATATAAAATAAAAACAAAATATGCTTCTTTATTTGCAAATAAAAACAAGAATTTATTTTTTTATCGTTATTATACTAAAATACTACCTTTAAAAAACCATTTTTTAATTTTTGGTTGCTTGTTTCAAAAACACAGGTTTCCTTTATTTTAATAAATAATTTTTTATCTTTAAATAAATATTTTTTTATATTAAAATTTTAAATAATTGATTTAAAAAATTATAATTTTATTACATGCAAATAATAATTTATTTAATATAACAAAACATTCTTGGAAACAAAGTATATATCTATCTAATTTAAAAAAAAATCAATATTGTTGCAAAATGTATTTATTTGATTAAAGAAAATTTTATTTTTAGTGTAGCAATGGTTTTCGTTGTGAAGCGATTCTATTTGTCGACGACAAATAGAGCAAATCGGCATGCTATTGATTCGCTACATGATTACCAGTCACTCGCTGGTAATTGTATGCGGACAGATCTCGATTGATTCGCGAAAATAAAAAGATCATTTTACCGATGTTTTTCGCGCCGCTAATTAATCATAATCGGGCGTCGCCTTTTTAGGTCGACCTTGTACGATATTGCGCGGCGCATAAGTAAGGATTATAGAGACGCGCCAATGGAACCCGAAGGCGATATGTTATTTTGATTATGAGCGCGGATGAATCACTTTACATGCCGAATCCGTGCGCGATATAAGGCACTCGGCTGGAACGCGCGCATTTGCATATTAACGATCTCGAACGAATGCTAAGAATGGGCTTCTGAAAATATACATGTATCCGCAGATACACAGTCGTGCAGTGGGAACGTATTTACTTACTTATCGCGATGGCTCCATTTGGAGAGCCATCTCGCTAAAAAGGCGCGTACATTTCTGAGACTTGGTAAGAACAGGAAATCGCATGCTTAAATTAAAAAAACTTTTTCGAATCGCTCGTGTAATTTGTTTCTTTCCAGCAAATCAGATAATTTTTCAAATATCAGGTATAAATTATTACTGTTACTCGACGGTGCAATCTTATTATCTTTCCCCCGTCAAGTTCCACATCCTCCTAAAGTTGCATGATATAATTAACTTTTTTTTATTGAATATATTTTGGAAGAAAATCTAATGTTTCTTACATTACATGTTTCTATTCTTACATATTCATTTTAATTCTCACGAGATGTGATCGAAAATTAATCTGTTCGGATTAATTTTAATCATAAATGTGACCTCGATCTTATTCGTATAAAATTTTAGACAAGATATTTCGCGAGTATACTATATTTTAATTTCAAAGAAATTACTTGTCATTTTTATTTCAATAATATTCTAAAAGCGATAAAAAGCGTCGGCAAAATGTATGTATATGACTCAGAACAAAGTTATATCTCAAAAAGTCTCAAGGCGATTGTGAGCTTTAATGGGTTAATGGGACGTTAATCTCCGTCTCTCACGGTGATGGTCTCTGATTGGACGACCATGCTATTGTGGTAGAGATACACACAGTGTTTGTCCATTCGGGTGTGTACTTGGTATCGCGTACGTGCCTGTATTTACAGTGGCTTCGCCCTGATAATCCTCTCGCCTCCTACTCGGGATGTCCCGCTCCGACAATCTCGGCATGAGATAAAGCAAAGTTATTTTCTCTATAAAAAAAAAAAATTCTATGTGTAGACATGTCTCTCTTTTTAATTTGATTTAATTTTAATCACTTAATAATTTAAAATTATGAAAATGCGCTAAAAACATGTTACTTTCTGTAAAGTATTTATTGAAGCGCTTTTAAACGACTCAAGTATTGCAAATGGAAGATAATGTTATGCGCTAGTGTAACTCGTACTATTGAAAATCTTTTGTATATAAGTATATATGTATGTATAGATGCGATAGCTAGTGAATAATTAAAAATTTGGATCTACTTGAAATCTATTATATGATTAGTAAGATGATAGAAAGATATTTTATATTCTTACGTGCTCTTTTAAATATGAAACGACTCCATTTTCGATTTTTCAAGAGATCGGCTCTGATCGACACTATCTAGTTAATGGAAAGAACGTCAGATATATATTGGAACTTCATAATAAATTGAGTTTAATATTCGGTGATCATTTAACGTTTGTCGCCTTGAACACTTCTTTTTAGGAAACTTCGAAGAAGAAGGCTATTTTGCAATCGATGGTATGTCTATTTTTGTTTAGAATTTGCATAGAATTCCGAAAGTGCGTTAAAATGAATCTTCCAGGTGATGGTAATGGTAGGTGTATGGACCACGCATTCTGGGGCGACGCACCTGCTAGACTCGATCCTGAGATGCCCGGTGGATCCGTCAGAAAGTACTCGACGGCCGGACAGTATCGCGAGTGCTGGCGCGAAAGCATGCGGCGCGAGTCTCGTCGAGTACTTTCGTTTCGCGCGTCGTGAATTCATTCGTATCGCTTGTCATTCATCGCCGAATTGTTCTCGCGACAAGGTCTAATAATTTTTCAATTAAGATCCAATCGAGCGACTCGAATCGTTTGCCAAAGATACATTGATTTTTTCTATCAAATTCGGCGAAAGTCGTGCTGATTCCTTTGAGAATTTCTAGATCGGCCCATAAGAGAATAAGCGTGATTGTGCGAATCACACCGAGGTGTGTAGGTAAGTATAAACACCCCGTCGCGCTCTTTCTCCTCTTCTCATCTTCTTTCTATCTTTACAGAATTAAATTTTACTCCCTGCTGTCTTTCCTTTGCTCTCTCTTTTACGCCGATACGTGCATGCATTTTGCGTTTCCGAGAAAGGATCGACGAACGGTTTTTCCTCGAGGATATTACGCGAGTGGCATTGTCAGTCTCTTACATAACGAGTTGTGCATGCACACAGCCAGAAGCGATGAGAATCTTCTCAGTGCGCGAGTGTATTAGAAATGGTGTGTTTCCATCCGATACGTCCGTTCGATTTTGATTCGCGACGGTCATAATTCGTTGATAATGATCGACAGATCGGCGAAATCGTCGTCACGTAGACCTCAAACTGTATTTGGTGTGAAAGCCAAGGTACCGTTCCCGTATATGATTGATCTTCAATGTCGCGCGATCCTAAAATGGATTCGAGCACGATCGAACGAGCCCGCTTCACATTTTCAACCAAAATGGCGACGTCCTTGACGAGGTCACGTGTCCAACGTTGCATCTGCGCCGCATACTAAATTGTTGATCCATTTGCTCGCGGTGTTTTCCGCCGCGCATTGAAATCACCGCGGCCGGCAATTCAAACGTTCCGCGCGCTTTGTGTTTTTTTATCTTAATCTGCTTATCTAGTCCGATTTCGCTACTATCAATTGAGATTAATTTAATATCCTTTTTATCTATATTACGTTTATATTGTAGTCAACGTTGCAGGTGCATTCAAAGTTGGTGAAACTTTGTTGATGTATCTTTTTGAGAAGAAATATGTACATATTTTAATTAGAGAAAGAAAGAATTTTCCTTTTAAAGTAAAATAATAGATATTTAATATGTATCTTTTTATAGAAAGTTTTGTATATTAAATAGTACTCAAAAATAAATTTTATTAGCGAATTAACGATGTATTTAGAAAGTGCTCCTGAAAAGACGGAAGTATCGTAAAAATATAGAAGAAATTGGCAGTGAGTATGTTTATATATAAATTTATACATAAAGAACTATGTCAATCATTTTAACCTGCCTTTATGAAAAAAAATATTGCAGGGTTGACTGATAATTCGATGTGTGAATAAGAAATAAAATTATCATTATCTACTGATATACAATTTATCGACGCTCTACTATCAAGGAAAGTTATTTTTTACGTCGGGTTTACTATTACTCTCGCCATTCATTCTATTCTAGACAAAGTGCGTAAAATGTCACGGACGACTTTTCGAATCATTTACTTATACGCGCTGACGCATCCCTGACGTCACACGCATATCCAATAAGGTGAGACTAACATGGTCGTATCACGGATTGCCAAAGAAACGTGTTGTCGATGCAAAGTGCATGTTTGTCCTTTTAGATCTATTCATGAGATATAAAACATTCGTTGGCGTGAAGTTTCTGAAAGCAATTCGAAAGTAAAGAAATCAGAGATATTAATAAATATATCTTTATAAAATTAATCTTATATACAAATTTTGTATATAATAATCTTAAGTGTACATTTATTATGCGATGAATATAAAAATGTTCATTAATATTTATTAAAATATTTATTTTATTTAGAAAATATACTTTAATTATTAATTTCTTGACTATTCCTTCATATGATTAAATTGTATGGTAAGATAATTATTATAATTATCATGCAATTAAAAAATTTATAATTAATATTATTATATCAAAGAGATAAGTGAAACGTCACGTCATTAAGAGATTATACGATAAATCATATTTTATACATCATGGACTTTTATGAAGTATCTGAAGGTGGCATCGAGCACATTTTGTAGTAATGTGCAGTCATTTTGAAATCACATTTTACGACCATTGGATCCTAGAAAAAAAAAATCTAAATATTTATACGTACCTGTCTATAGTTCGAGATGGGGAGAACGCGTGCGTAATTCTAACCGCAAGGACGCCAGTGTTCAGAGGCGTAGGCAAAGTTCTCTTTAAAGCAGATTAAATTGCTCTGCTTGAAGAATTCATTATGATCAAGCGGCAATTAAGATGGCGAACAAGAGTTAAGAGAGCGCTTAATATCTGGTATAATTACCATCACAGCAACGAGACGTTATGAAAGTAATACATTGTGCATTGACACTAGCATTATCTCTCACTGTGATTAGAGAAACTAAATAAATAATTTTTTTATTATAATCTATTTTAGTATATTATACATATAATACTTTACTCTATACTTTTTATTCTTTTTATTTCCAATATCACATACTAATTCTATCACTAGTATTCCCTTCTTCTCAGTTTCTAGAACCCATACTCTCAGCGTACGGTGAGGAATCGCTCGTTTCCCAACCGCGTATCAATTAGTTTTTCGGTCAAACAAACAACTCATTCCATGCGAGCTACGATCAAGAATACGCGTGAATGATTAAGAGAAAAGTACGCCATTGAGATATAGAACATAGGCAACCGGCCGTACGTGGTGTCTTTAACCATCTCAATATCATATCGCGTAGACCATATCGAGGTGGTCGCGATTATACAGGGCCGCGTGCCACCGCGGCCTTCGGCTTCTATATTCGCAGAAAAAGTTTCCCGATGAATTATTGCGCCCCGCATCCCATACGCGAGCTCATCTTCTCGTGTTCTCCACACGATGACGAAAGAATCGAAAAGAGGGATGCGCGTTCTTAACGCGAAATTAATATCTCGAATTGAATTGTTTACATTGATCGACAAAATAAGACCTTTTTTGTCTTAAGTTCTATCAAGTCATTTCTGGTAGATTTTTTAGCGCTGATTACGAATCTGGCCGTAAAAATGGCATATCACATCAAGTTTTTAAGAAAATCTCAGACAAACCAAAGTTGGTAAAATAAGCGTTTTTGATACTTTTGAGTTATATTTTTCGATAAGGATGTGCTCTAGAAAGTAGCAACAGCTCAAAATGAAGCTCAAGATTTATACTTTATAATAAAAATGTCAGAAGTCCCAGACAGAAAAGATTTTCCTGAGAAAAAGTGGTCGAAACATAAGAAACATCATTTATTGCAGTGTCCCCCAATCATACGTCTCCAATTGTCCGTTACTAAACTACTAGTGCCAAAAACTACTCTAATTCTGTTCTTAAGTGATAGCAACCACAAAAACCTACACATACCCATTTCCATGATTTGAATGATTTTTCAAGAATTTGATCTGCCATTTTGGATCGTCCATTTTTAATTTTGAAATTTTAATATGTGATTCGTGATGAGTGACCAGGCAAACATATACATACCGACTTTCATGATTAGGACGATTTTAAAAAAAATTTTAATAATGAACAATTGGAGAGATGTATGACTGGGGGACACTGCGACAGATGTTTCTTATGTTTCGACCACTTTTTTCAGGAAAACCTTTCCTGCCTGAGACTTCTGGCATTTTTATCATAAAGTATAAGTCTTGAACTGTCGCTGCTTTCTAAAGCACGTCCCCATCGAAAGATATAATTCACGCAAAAGTATCAAAAACACCTATTTTAGCAATTTTGACTGAGGTTTTCTCAAAAACTTGACGTGGTACGCCATTTTTATGGCCAGATTCGTAATCAGCGCTAAAAAATCTACCAAAAATGACTTGATAGAACTTAAGGCAAATTTGGTGTTGAACAATTATCGAAACGGAATCTGATATAAAAAGAGTTGGAAAATTATAATGTTAACTTAATTCGCTTAATGCGCTCAAAAATCTTCGATATGGACATTATATTTGTTAATATATTGATGCTTTTGATGAACGCAACGACGTTTCTTTTACTATAAATTAAAATAAGGTTTTCTCTATCAGATAATTTATAACAGAGTATGTTTTTGTTATTTATGTGCAGAGAAACCGAAATTCATGCTATGTCAATTGAATTTCTCTTCGCAACGATTGATTGAGTGACCTGACAGAAACATCAAGATTTTATAGTAGACATTAGACATGATCGAATGATGGAGGTAATTTCGACACGTCGGTACGAAGTCCGTCCACCGACAAACACCCACTCCCCTATTCTCGTGAGTAACCTTTCTCCGGCTCTTTAAAATGCATTTTTTCAGGTATTCACTTGTCTCTCCTTCGGAGTTTGTCTTACGCTTTATACATCTGGAAGAAATCTCGTATATGAAAAATTGATAAAATTATAAAAATTATTCGAGAATAAGCTGAAGAGAGAGAAACATAAAAGTTTGCCGAGTAAAAGATGATAGAAAATTGAAATGCAAGATTGATTAAATGGAAAATTGATTCACTTTGGTAGATAAATTCTATTTTATTAATTAATTATTCGCGAAATTTCTTTCAATTAATTTCTTTTTAATGATATTTTTTGAAGTTTTCAATAATTTTTTAATTAATTATTCTCGATTGATTCGAATAATTGTGTTAGGCCGATTTCCCGCAAATCACTCGTGTATTTATTCAGAGTTGATCTTGTGAATAATTTTACATCACGTTAACGTCCCTGTCGGATCGGAATCCGCCGGGTGTCGGTCAGGAGTTTAGTCGCGTGTAACATGGAGTAAGAAAGCGGTTACGGTGAAGTTATTTACGGTAGACGTACTTCTCGCGATACGTAACTTCCCTGGAATGTCCTTAACCAAAAGGAATCGCCGTTTCACTCCTCTGCTGACGTTCACGTTCGTAGGCGGATTTACATACGTATTGTTTCCTTTTTCAGGTTGACCCTGAGAACTCCGTGGCATTAATCAAAGAAGGTAAATTCTCCGCACAGAAATGTTAATTCACGAACGAAAATGGTAATCTATGGTCATTCATATCGTTAGCGTGTAAACTGAAAGTTTTTTAAGATGGTGGTACTAACGGCATAACTCATCATATAACCAAAAGCAATGAAGAACAGTGAAGGAATATATGATAAATGTGAAATTCCAACACATAGTCAATCCATATTCAAATCGTAAGAGACGAATATGTAATTAGAATTTCTTTTTTATCTCTTCGTAATTTTGACGAGTTCAAACTTACGAACGCGCTATCAAGGTTAAGTAAGGTGCTATCTAAAAGTGCCGTAAGATGTCTAACTCAAGAGTTTCTAATATTTGAGTGAACCGTATCCCCTTGTCAAACCCTCATTTCTCTTATTTAAATAAAAGATTAGATAGGATAGTGTCAGCCAGATATTCTACAAACATAAATCAACAAACGCATCCTCTTTTCCGTTTGCTTTCTTCGTCAAACATCGCGATTACAGAAATAACTGTGTTTACTTGGTGCATTTTAGCTATTGTTTTGCTCGTTTGGCATAGTTTGAAATGTTCGCAAAGGCGCGATAGATGGCATTATAAAAGATATTTCTGTCATGTTGTTCCATTGTCGACTCATCACTCGCGTTTTATGCCCGTTTGTTCTTGTTTCTTATCTAAAAGATCACTTTTGCTCAATAAACGACACTGAAAGGACACCCGCTTCCGGTTTTTAGAGGAATGGGAGACCCGCAAGAAAAAGGAGATCACGACTACCCGGCAGATCGAGACCAGGGTGAAACGGCAGGTCGTCCTCGAAGATGGCGAAGTCGTTGTCGATTCTGGTCCTCTCGTTACCACCAACACTACCGAGGATGTCGAGCAACAGGAGCATACAACTCAGGAGGTTTGCACGCGTTTATTGTGCGAGTATAAGTAGTAAATTCTAAAATAAAAAAAATTATTTATAAGAGAGAGATATAAATTTTGAATATAGCATAATCACAAGTGATATATAAATCTGTAATTGGATTTAATAATGTCAAATCATTTTTTTGGTACCTTAAATTTTTCACAAGTTTTATCTTTATATCTTTCCTCCTCTATACACTAACCAAGAAGATTCTGGATCGTTTTTATACAAGTCAAAATTTCGAGGAGATGAAAGACATAACAAGAATCAATTGCAAAAACTTTATCTCACTTCTCTACGAGATGCACCTATTGTTCGTTGATTCTGCATACATTCGCGCATCGGGATGGAACTCGACTTCCTTTGTAACATCACGCGCAAACATGTACAGAACGTGCTTTTAACGTCCGCGAACCGGTGTTTAGAGACGCACGACCGGGGATCAACCGCAGGAGGTCGACTGGCGGCCGGCGGCAGGTGGTATTGTGACCGGAAGTGGCGGTAACATCGTGCAAAAGGAGCTCAACGAGACGGTGTTGAGGAGCCGCGAGGAGATCGAGGAGAGACTCGAGACGGAGGATCGTCAACAGCTGGGAGATATCTCGGACGAGGTATATATATATATATATATATATACATATATGCACACACGTGACGCACCCACATCTGAATTCCACCTGCGCGTGCCGCAGGGAATACGGCTTTGGCGCATTCTCTTTCCCGGCATCTCACGCGCCGCGAAAAGGTCGCGTTGTTTGTTCTCTCTCTAAAGATTCCCCATTCCATCTGATAACTCACGCGCGCGTTTTTGCGTTGTGTAAAGATGTATCTTACACTCAAAAAAATGTCTTGCTGATATAGGTAGATTTCTAGGTGTCACAACAAAAATTTATCGCTATTTTTTGTATCTGTTAGAATATTGTCTGTTACATATAGAATTTATAGCAGCAATATTCTAATAATATCTTCTAGAAAATTTAGGTCCCATTGCCAAATGTTAATCACTGCATTGGATAAATATGAGTTTCGATACTACAGCTAGAACGATCTTTGTGAGAAATATAACTGCCAATTATAACTGCAGCATCGAAAAATTGAGAGAAATTGTTTAAAAGAGCTAGATAGATTGGGCGCGTTATACAAATATGTTAGATGTGAGGATTATATATTCATTTGTTTCTTGCCGCTAATTTTTTCTGTGTACCACAGCCAAACTTTATAACAAGTATGATTGGCCTTAACATGGATAGGCGCCACAGAAAAACATTCTTTCTAAATTTCACAAACAGTTCAGATATAAATTCTGTCTCTGTCACTTAGATTGATTAAATGCGAAACATATGCGATATCACAGTATTTGCTAATCATTTATGTATCTCAGTTAATTTTGCGCACCCAGAAAATTTTTGCTGTAGTTGCAATACCACTTTTTTGAGTGCTGGATTGCGAAAGACGGGCAACAGGTATATGCGCAAAAGATGCTCTCGCGCGCATGAACGATTCAGGATGGAGGAGGTCAGATCGTTCTGAACGAAGAGGACGAAGGAAGGACGGAGTTAAATGGCGAACGGCAAACTGGAAAGTGAGAGAGCGAGGGAGAAAGAGGGCGATATAAATCGAGAAAAAGAGAGAGAGAGAGAGGGAAAGGGATCTCAAGAAGTGGAAGTCGATGATCTCTCGATTTTGCTCTCCCTTCACCCAATGGCGATGAAGGAGCCATGAGATGCCGCAGCCGCAGTCTCAGCAGCTGTTCCGTACGTCTCACGACCGCACGAGTGCAATCAGCCGCGATAGTGTGTCCCGTGCTTGGCGATATCGACGAGAGGGATATCGTCCCCGACACAGAATTTGTCCGTTTCTTCGTGCGATTCTGTGCTGATCGTCGTCGTCGTCGGCGGACCGGACCAGTTGTCCTCGCGCGAAAGATGCCGGGATAACCCGGTCGGAAATATACGCGCTGTTTAATCGGACGCGACATATCGACGGGATCCGTTTATCTTTTCGGCGAAATGAAAGACACAATAATCGTTGACAGACGCATTGAAGCTGGAATAGCTTCGTTCCGGAGTGTATAACGCATCGCTGCAAGTAGACCGGAACACAGAGAGATTCGATCGAAGTCGTGGTCTCGCAGCACGGTGGACAATTTTTCCGGTGCGTATCGTGACGATTCGTCATGCTCGTCATCGTCCTCGACGTACTCGCGCACGGATACCGAGTCGTTCTCTCTGCGAAGGTCAGGAGAATCGCGTCGTGTCATCGTAAAACCGGCACTTTGCATAATTTTTAATTCGTTTGTCGCCGCAGACGGCTTACACGCATACAAATGAGCGTTATGCATCTCGCGACCAATTGACATACATATAGATCAGCGAGTTTAGAGAGATCGCGAACGTCGAGTTTTAAAGGAGAATTGCAAATATATAAAAATAAGAATCATAGCTCACTTTTTCAAGTGTAAATCAACGATAAAAATCATAATATTAAGATAAAAGATACTTAAAAATATTTAAAAAATACTAAAAAATACTATCAGTGATCGATTGATCACAAAATTATTCACCGCGAATTGTCACGAAGACCTTATTACGATGTAATGAGGTAGTTTGTGAAAACCGATAATCGGTAATTATCACTGTAATTACTTTTCTCCTATTGAGTTCAAGTAATTTAGATGATATCTACGTATAAATGTTCGTGTCAATTAAAATTCATCAAAGATAGCTTCGCGATAATTTTCACATCTTGATCTATATTTATACCGGTATATACGATTGCGTGCACTTGTTCCATTGCAACTGTTCTTGAGCGCTGCATCCTCCTTTAGAAGCAATGTATTTTCGGAAGAAAGATGCAAACGGGCAAAGCCGGATCAGCCGGTTTTTCTCATGATGAGATTTCGAAATATGTATATCGGGAGGGGAAGAGGACTTTCGCGCGGAGATGATAAACTGGTCCGGCGGGGGTTAACGCGGGTACATCTGGTTTTCAGGCATACCAGAAGGCGGTGCGTAACAATAAGGGCGACTTGCGAGTCGCTCTTGCTGAATCTTCGAAACAGTTGGCGCCGCAGTCCGGTCCACGGGTCATTCAGCACACGACCAGGTCGAACAAAGTCATCGACACCGAGAAGACCTTGGAGAAAAAGGAACTGAAGGCTGATGGATTAATCGTTACCGAGAAGAAGCGAACGGTCGAGCACGAAGAGGTGAGTCTCGCAAAAACCTGCTAATACACTCTCGCTTTCAATTTTCTTTTCTCGTCTCAAATCTATCTTTGCTATTTTAATTTTCTTTAACGAAATAGAAAAACGATATGTTATTATTTGATATTATATTTTATTAAACAATAATATATATTTATAAGAAATAAATAATATTGATATATTAAAATGGTAAAAATTATATATGACGGAGAAACAGTGCAAGTAATGCGATCATTTCGGTTTCAGATCAACGACGACGAGGTTCCGGACGACGGTGGGAACGACGACGACGACGCCGCGGAAACGAAAAAAGAAGGTTCGCAGAGATACGTGAAGAAGAGAGAAGAGGACGTGGTAGACTACATCTCGGCCGGCGAGAGAGTCGGCCGAGAAATGCGCTACGTCGCAGAGACAACCGAAGGAGAACGAATAGGCGACTGGTCACCATCACCGACGGGTATGCGGACGACTCGTTTCCACAAATACTCCGGTAAGTCGCCTTTCTCCGTTCATTTTCTACCATCGCGTTCCACATGTTTACAAATCGTTGGCAGTTACTTGATAATAGTGCGCGATATTGAAGCGTAAGCATTGATGGCTAATAAATCTTTTTTTTCCGTTTTCAAGTATATTATATTCACACATTGTCACATTATAGTATATTATATTCAAGAATAAAAAAATTCTGTATTTAACAAAAATTGTTTGAATTTTTGTTATTTTGATCTTGAGCAATTAAAGTCGAGGAAATGTAATTCTCTCATCAATTTATATAATTCTCTGTAAAAAAAGAAAATTGCAAATTACTGCAGGCTTCTTGGATGCCGCGCGAAAAGATGCTCTAACGAAAAAGTCGTTGGATCTGGAAGAAGAGGATGAGGCGAGAAAATTTGAGACATCGAAATGGCTGGAGAGTCACTTTGGCAGCGACTCGCGTTCATCTCATGGATCTCTCGACGCCGACGACTCCCCTCTTCCAACCAGCACTAATACGAGTTACATCAATGTTACTATGAAATCCTGCACCCCGAAGGAACGCGAATATGAAAACGTAAGCTCCAGCCGCCATCACAGACGTGGTAGAGATTCGAACTCACCTTCAGGATATTATCATGGAATCAGCGAATGGTCGGAACGATATCAAGGAAGAGGTATAGAAAATATAACTTTATTACAAAAACGTATCTTCAATATTAATACGAAAGCATTTTTATCTTTGAGTACATATTATGTAACATATGTGTAAAATTATGTTTACATAATAAAGTATATAACGTTGTAAAACACAAATATGTCATTATAGAAAATCGATTTATTTATACACTTATAAATTTATAAGTATAAGTTATAACTTACATATCTATTAAATTTTAATAGATATGAAATTTTTTATGTAGAACTAAAATGTAAATATAATATATTCTGCGTAGAGAAACAAAATCACGCACGATCGAGCTCTCCAGTTCGATATGTGGAAACTGTTCGTACCAACGGACATGCCCATGGGCATAAGAGAAATCCAGTTGAATCATCATACTCGAAAACTTACGAATCGTTTCGACGTGAGTACCAAAACTCTATCGAGGAACGACAACGTACTCCTTCCCCACCGATTCGTCGGAGATCCAAAGAACAAGTATGGATATTTTTCTTCTTTAATTTTATATATGATAATAATATTTATCATTTCATAATTAATTTATAAAAAAATATAATTTTAAATGATAAAAAAGTTGTATGTATATGTTCATATTTTTATTGTTGATTATTAAATATAATTATAAGTATATTGAATGATTCATCGATTTGTGTCGCATTGCAGATTTATAAAATGTTTTACTGTATTATGAAGCGTTGAATTTTGTTGATATAATTTCTAGTGGGCAAAATCCGAAGAAAAAATTAATTTGAACGAACCATCGCCGGGTCGTACTTCAAGCCCGGTACACGTGGTACAAAGAACTTGGGAGAGCCGCAATCGCGATGCTCAAGCACAGACTCCAGAAAGAGAGGATTATAAGAATATCTCGCCGCGATCGCGATCAATCTCACCAAAGTTACAACCAATTAATCGCCAAGAAAAGAAGTCTGATACTTCACGAGCGTCGAAAAGTGAGCCTAATTCTTTCCTAATAAATTCAAGATAATTAAATCCAGTGACATAACTAGAACTATTAATAACATCTAAAAAAAGTTTGCAATAATACTTAATGGCTAATGTGGTATATTGTAAATCTTCTTATATACAGATACTGGTTCTAAATATAAGATCGGTGAATCCTTTCGGAAGCTGGTGGGAAAATTGCGTTCAGCCAGTACGGAGAGGAAGAACAAGCGGGGAAGCGGCAATTCGACCTCGCAATTGACGCAGACCGATGACAACGGTCCGACTTATTTGCAATACAACGTCGTCGACCGAAATATTCCTCTCGTTAGCGAAAGGGATATGATAGAAGACAAACCGCCTGAGAGACCGCCGCGGTCGCCGCGAAATGTCAACGTGCCGAATAAAGCCACCAAAATATCCACTAAGACGGCCAATCACGTCGTTCAAGAGCAATGGCAACGTAGTGAATCCACGCCACCGCCTTTACAGAGGTATTACTTGGGCGAGGATCCTTTCGGCGGCAGCATCTATGGTCGCGAGAAAGGGTACGAGATCGGCAGAGATCGACAGCGACACGGAAGACCACGGAGCTCTGGTAGAGTTGCTGTAGATTCCGAGAACAGGTAATCGAAATACTCTCGATATATGACGTAGTTAATTGAGAGCGAGACAAATTTCGGCTGACAAGTTTTTACTATTTAAATTAAATCGCATTGTAATTAATCCATTATGATTGTTCGTTATTATCAAGACATGTTTTTGCCATTGAAATAGTTTCTTATAACATATGTTATAGGTTCTTTTTTTTATTTACATCTTTGTTTCAATTGAACATTAAGAGTTTTTATGGATTAAGTTATAGAGAGAAAAAAATATAAAAAAATATTAACAAATTATAAAACAAATTATAATATTATGAAATTATAATGACCGATTTTCACCAACAGAAAAAATGAATTGCAAATGAATTGAAGATGAAAATACAAACAAGATCTATAATTTAATCCGAGATATTTTATATATCTAATGCATGAAATGTTGTTTCGAAAATATTTCATATTTTCATTTATTGTCAGCAAAAATTTGTCTCTCAATGTATATCAGAGTCCGTCCTCGTATTAAAATAGACTATAAACTCGCTATCTTACGTCGCTTGATCGCCAAAGACAGAGTTAGCTGTACACAAGCTTCAGGAGCCAAATTGCGCAAACGTCTAAATCCGCTTGGGTGTCTTTAAATCGGGTCTCGATGAATCCAAACTCGTTTCGATTTCGGGTGAAGGCTGCATGCAGGGACGCATGAATCGAATCGTATATGATGAACCATACGCTAGGCTCATTCGACGAGAAAAAATTCATCTTGTGACTCGGGAAGAATCATCTTTTGGAAACGACCGCGTTTCAGCGTTGCCTCCAGCTCCCTCGGCAGGTTTAGCAAATCCACCAGCAGACTGGTCGGCGATTACGAAAAAGAGGAGCAGTTCCGGCCCATCCAGACATTACCGCGAAATCTGCACTCCACCGGTGGTGGACAATCAACTCGTTCGCAGACAGCATCGCAGATTAGACGACACCAGGCCACTCACATCGGCAGACATGGCAAAACAGGCCAGCAACACGGTAGCATGATCAACATATCGATCAAGAACGCCGTGAACACGCCACCCAAGTTGAACATGACGAGCGCGTATAGCACTCTTCAAGCACCGCCGAAACCCGAACGGACGTACAAATCATCGCTGTCCCGCAGCAGAAGCTTTAACGTCGATGTCGACAAGAACGGCGTCGACGCACCGATACGTGCCCCGTATACCTCCAATTTGCACCTGAACCGGTTGGACGAAACACCGCCGCTGAAGAGCCCCGGTATTCTCGCCAGCATTAGTCGCAGTAACAGAGATCTGTTAAAAGAAGGTAAATATTAAGATGGTCGCGTCAGTGACCATATATATCGGGTATTAATTTACATTTTCCCCTTCCCTTTCCTTCCTCTTTCCTCCTGACATGCATACGCAAAAATCTTCCACCTTTAAAGCATGAGTAAAAAACTACAGCCCTAGTAAAATAATGAATTAAATATGTATTTTACATGTATTATAGATTTTTGTACGTATATATTTTCGATAATCTTGTATTTATTCTTCTGTCGGTCAACTGCCGCTGATCCCTCCTATCCTTAACTGTATCATTAATGATCATACATGTTTGTTCTATGATAGATATATACTATTATACAGGGTGTCCCAGTGTTACCGCACCATCTACTAATGACAAATTCTTAAGATGATTTTAAGATGATTTTCTCTCAGCAAAAATATCGAGGCATCAATAATTTCCGTGTTATAAGCGATTTAAAAAGAAGGGCTTTTTGCAAAACTTTATAGAAAGTTAAAACTACATTTTTTAGTTAAGTTCAGATAAAGTTTACTTTAATAGAGAGAGAGAGAGAGAGAGAGAGAGAGAGAGAGAGAGAGAGAGAATTTTAATTTAAGGCTTATTGTTAGTTAGAAAGATACATGATGGAAAAAATTGAAAACTTGTAAAAAGTGGTGCGGTAACTCTAGGACAACCTGTATTTTCAAATTTATCCTTATTAATCAGTTGATCTTTTTTATTTCCACATTATCACGCACACTTATGCATTTTAATGTGGAGTACTATCGATATAAGTAAATAGTAGACAAACATATCTTTGAAACTGCCAAACAAATTAGCAGATGGTGCTACAATTTATATAATAGCCGATTTTTTTATTTGAATGAGGAAAAATAATTTAAGTTCTAATATGCAATATGTACAATATCTTTTTACAAACTATTTATGTGAGTTAGATTGAATCACATCTAGAACGGAATATTATATTGATAAATTGACTGATGACATACAATTGCTCCAAATCTTCCTAAATATTAAATAATTCTTCGTATTTTTTAAAATTTATATGCTATGTATTCTCGATAGTTAAATTACTGATATTCTTACAAAAAGAAACGTGTGTTAAGATTGTTACTAATTTCGGTATATGATATACAATGTATCTCATGTCTATTGTTCTTCTATCATTCATATATTCTTTAAACGCTTTGAAGTACATTTTTTTTTATTAACAGATAATTTTACTTGTTGACTTGTTCCTTTCGGTTCTTAGAAATGATAACCAAAAGGAAGTATCGAGAACTTGAAACACTCTGTATATCCGTCATCACGCATAATTTTTATTAAGTGAATATACGAGTTTCATACAGATGCGACATTACTTACATATTTTTGGTTTATAATATAAATATGTAATAAGTTTCTTTTCTTCTATCACATATTTATGTATATACATTATCTCTTTTATTAAAAAAAACATAATATATATATCTTGGATTTTTAAAGATATTTTTACATATATTATACATATATATACTTATATTAAAAACGTAATCGGATAATTAACTAATAAATTTATCTAAGAAAAAATAAAATTTATACATGTAGTAAAAAAAACTATTATAATATCATCTTGGTCAGTTGCAAGAATTGCAATTAAATTTATTTAAATTCTTTAAATTTATTTCATCTTCTTTTTGCGTGCAACATCAATGAATAATTTATGGAACTCCTTAATAGCAAAAAATGTAATCATTGCGTTTACGGTGTATGAGCCAAAGCACACTATACAAATATTATTAAGTACATATAATATATATGCCAAGTATATTGATAAAATATTAGAAAGTATTCCCAAGGCAACAACAGCAGCAGAACAGGAGTAGTTATTAATTGTACCTGCGAAAAAAATTTTTCCTCATTAATATATGAAAGAACATATATGCGCATAGAGATTTATGTCAATAATGGAATACATACTTAAAACTGCAACCAGAGTATAAAATGCTAAACCATATAATGGATTTGGGATGTTAAATACGGAATTTTTTGGCAATAGTCCAAATCCTTTGCCATATCTGAAATATAATATATATATTAATTGATTATTGTGTGTGTTATATATGTCTATCTGAAATAATTTTATAATCACATATATAGGATCGCCAATTTTAAATATTTTTCATGTATATGTTACATCACGTCACACATTTTTAATTTTATTTAATGTTTACACTACTTTCTTTGTGTTGCCGATTTCAAATCGAATTGAAAGGAACGATATGCCTTACTCTTTACATCATAAATTTCAATATATTCTGCGTTTAAAAATTCGCGCTCGATTGAAGGCAACAATCATGGCAGCACACGTGGCGTCTCGTCGATCGCGATGCGGTGCGATCATGAAGAAAGAGTAAGGAGAGTTATCTCGATAGTGTAGAGAGAAAAAAAGTGGTCACGAAAAATGTTCCGTATGTGGCCAGGTTTGCCAAATGGAATCAATGTGACGGCGAGTTAAATTCAACATGTTGACTTAATAGTCTATCGATTCTCGCATTATCGTCTTTAAAACATAATTACTCAAACGCGAATGCGTCACCGAAGCATTATCTTGGAATCATTTATAGTACAAGTGTACGACCACGTTGTTAGTGAATCTCAGAATCCACAGCGTGTATGTGATATGTATATGTACACAGTGCAGAGATAGTGAACTTTGTATTCTAGTAAGTCATTAGTGATATTCCAGATATTCCATTCCTCAGCAAGATGTCAACTGGAAACTGTGCATTACGAAAAATCAACGTCGGAATTTTGTCCGCATGCATTATTGGTTTGGGATTATCATACTACGCGTACGTCGTAGAAACTAAAAAGGAACAGGATGATTCGTACGAAGCAATGTGCGACATTTCAGAGCATATCAGCTGTACCAAAGTGTTTATAACCGAGTAAGTGAGAACGTAAAAAAATAGCTATCGCCGCATCAGCATATTAATCGCGCATCAATGATAACGTTTCTCGCCATGTGCTTCACTTAATGTGATACTGATAAATTATTATCCATTTTATAAAATATTTTACAATTTTTATGCTATACGTTTGATTGCGAATTTTATGAGATTTTATTTTATTTTCTATTTATCGCATAGATTCTCATATTTCATTTGAATAAAGTTTTGATTTAATCGCGTCGAATAATAGCAACGGACATACATACATAATAATTTGTATTGATGATTTTACTACTTTAAGCCCGTTCTACATTGATCGCATGTCGCCAGTCGCAAGCAAATCGACCAATCACAGTCGAATATTCGACGGAATAATCGACTGTGATTGGTCGATTTGCTTGCGACTGGCGACATGCGATCAATGTAGAACGGGCTTAAAGTAGTAAAATCATCAATACAAATTATTATGTATGTATGTCCGTTGCTATTATTCGACGCGATTAAATCAAAACTTTATTCAAATGAAATATGAGAATGTATGCGATAAATAGAAAATAAAATAAAATCTCATAAAATTCGCAATCAAACGTATAGCATAAAAATTGTAAAATATTTTATAAAATGGATAATAATTTATCAGTATCACATTAAGTGAAGCACATGGCGAGAAACGTTATCATTGATGCGCGATTAATATGCTGATGCGGCGATAGCTATTTTTTTACGTTCTCACTTACTCGGTTATAAACACTTTGGTACAGCTGATATGCTCTGAAATGTCGCACATTGCTTCGTACGAATCATCCTGTTCCTTTTTAGTTTCTACGACGTACGCGTAGTATGATAATCCCAAACCAATAATGCATGCGGACAAAATTCCGACGTTGATTTTTCGTAATGCACAGTTTCCAGTTGACATCTTGCTGAGGAATGGAATATCTGGAATATCACTAATGACTTACTAGAATACAAAGTTCACTATCTCTGCACTGTGTACATATACATATCACATACACGCTGTGGATTCTGAGATTCACTAACAACGTGGTCGTACACTTGTACTATAAATGATTCCAAGATAATGCTTCGGTGACGCATTCGCGTTTGAGTAATTATGTTTTAAAGACGATAATGCGAGAATCGATAGACTATTAAGTCAACATGTTGAATTTAACTCGCCGTCACATTGATTTAGTTTCAAATGTTCATTGATGTAGAAACCTGTTTTCTTGGGCAACTACATTTGCATAAAATCTGCCAAAGGTCAAACATTATGGAAATTAAATTTTATCGCATAGTCCGATGAATCAACCTTTATTTTTTTTAAATTTGTACATTACTTAGTAGATTCTTAAATAAGCTTATCTACAGATACTCTGTGTTATACTCAGATAGAACTAATAGAATTCAGAAAAAGCAGGATATTTATTCAACATAGTTGCCATTATTTATCTCTGTCAAATCCTTATTTCAAAAATTACATCGGTAATTACTTATAAGACTTACAAATTAAAGTTTAGGTCTCAAAAAATAATTCTGTCTTAAAGTACATATCTCACAACATAATTCTTAATATTAATAAGAGAATATCTATATGTGTGTGAAAAAAATTTATATATGACACGTTTTGCTAAAAATGATACATTCTACTTTTAATTTTGAGAAATTTTTATGATGAATGAAGATAATATTTAGTAAATAATTTTTAGAAGTATAAGCTAATTAACTAGTTACAATGTATATTAATTTTATTTGTAAAAAAAAATTAATTATAAGAGCAATAGACTAGCTCAGGAAAGTTTTGTCCACACACATACAATGTATTTTTTCCACAGATTTCAAATATCTCGATTTGATATTCTTGCGTTTATTCTTGTGGAGCCATTGCTCTGGCTTGAGCTTTAACACGCTTTTCATATTCCAGACGATTTTGGCTTTAAAAAAAAAAAAAAGTACAATGATTAATCTTTAAGTATTGATATTTTTATATCTTGTAATATGTCTCGTAAACAATACCAATATATTGTGTATGCTTCTGCTTGAGCTGGATCTTTCACATTTGGTTCATTTAATAAATCCTGAATGCCAAGAAGAATCTGTTTGATCGTAATAGCTGGTCGCCAGTCTTTCTCTTCGTCCAAAAGTGACAAGCAAACGGTACCGGATGGATAAACGTTTGGATGGAACAGCGGAGGTTCAAATTTACATTTTGGTGGACTCGATGGATAATCGTCTTTGAAAATCATACGTAGCTTATACAACCCACCCTCCCAAGGAGTCTGCAAAACTACGTGTTCAATACAAATGTACATAATTCTGTAATTCATCTGATAGAAGTTTACCCACAGATTTCTTTCCCGGTATTGCACATTCCCAACTCATCAAGTTAAGAGAACCATCCGGGTTTTTGGTTGGTCTAGCCACAAAACCCTGCAATTAATGAGTATCCTTGTATCACTCTTCGTTATTTTTGTACAAAATGCTAAAGTTGAGATTGGGTCTGTTTTTTATAGCTAAACTAAGCTGAACTGGCTGCACTAGTTCAGAGTTTATCTTTCACTTTCCAATGTGGAGAGAAAAAGATAAACTCTGAATTAATGCGGCCAGTTCAGCTATACTATAAAGAACAGACCCATTACTATAAAAATTTTTGAAAATTTCGATGGGTCCCTACATATATTATAGATTTCGAGTTACAATGATCAGTTCTGAGAATTTTAAAATTTCACTTTGCACGCAAATGTTATAATGCGTAATATGTTAATTAGAGATTAACCTATTCACCATCTTTGAGACGAGACTAGATCGATCATTTCAACAGAATTATTAATTAATTAAATAAAATGTTTGAGGTCACTTGATCTAGAGCGTGATGCGAGCCAATGTTTACAGTCGCGAGAAACAACGTGGAATCGTAATCGACGCATTTGGCGCGCGCGAAACGGGATGATGACGGTTGCCGCGGGAACGCGGCCTGCTACGCGCAGAAACTCACGAAAGGATGATCCTTCCTCCATGCTTTTCGCTCCTCGGCGAGCCTGGCGATCGCTATGCCTGACATTAGGTCTGCGACGATGTGACGATCTTCAGGACAGCAGTGACAAGATACGCTCTCACGATGCGAAATAGTTCCTCACGTTCTCTCGATGCCCACAATATAAGCGGAAATAGTCTTCAGTTCACCGAATTTGAATGTTTTGCCGGATGCTGCTGCTTGGTGAAACGCACCAAAACGCACACTCTACGCGAGGGTGCAGCCGATGGCCAGCCAAACAGCCAGAGGGTTACGTTAACACGCTGATCGTGTTCGTAAAAGCGCTAGCAGATTCGTTCGCGATTTTTCACGAATAAAACGGACCGTTTAACAAGTATGGCTCGGTCGATAAAAAAGGCCGTTTTTCTTGGACTAAATATACAGTTGTGCACCAATAGAGATGGCTAAAAACTTGTCCAAGTCGTCGATTGATGAGTCCAGAAGCTAATCGTATATGGCTCGCGATTTAAAATTTATTGCTTGCACGTTTCTATAATTTAAGAGCTGAGAATGGTAGATCCAAGTCGTTTAGAAGATATAATTTTAAAATACACGGGGGAAGAAAGAAAATTTGTAAATTTTTATTATTTAAGTAACTTCAATTAATTTGCTTCTGCTATGTATGGAACAGTTTTTATACTATATATTTAGATAATGAATATTTTATTATTTCTTTATAGGATTATTAAATAATTCTTCTTTGTATTATAAATATAGCTACATCTATATATATTACTAAATTTTGCACAAAGGCCACTTCGTCTTGTGTATATATAATTTGTAGTCCGGAAGAAATCATTTGCACCAAAAATATCAAATAAAGGGATACGATGTCAATCTACACACACATACACATATATATTCAATAGAATAAAAATTTGTTATATATATATATATATATATATATATATATATATATTATATTCTTGAAACATTTTTGATCTTGTATAAATGTGTTTTCTTTTGCCAAGATTTGACAGATAAATCTTTTGTAGTTATCATGATGGAAATCTATATTAATAGATTAAATCTGATTAAATATTTTTTATTTTTTAAAGTTTTGCTATAATTTTGTATCATCGCATATTTTAAAACTTTGAATGACTTTTATGCAAATAACATACAACCCTGATAGCACAATATATTCTTTGACTATTCTATTTAGCGTCAAATATATATTATTTTGAGAATATTCTTACAGAATTATCTATGAATCTTTGTAGAATATTCTTGTGTTAAAAGAATATTTTATAAATTTGCTTAGAACATAGTATTTAAAACGATCTCATTTTGAAGTTCTATGCAGATTCATAAATCGTTTTTTTCACTTTATTAGAATTAAATATTCACTGAAAAATATTTATAGAATGTTTATAGAATAGGTTTGTGCTATCTGGGAATTTCCTTATTAAATAGATTTGTTAATTTGCTAATTTATTCGTATTTAAATCATTTTCTCTTCCTGTGGCAATGTAATATATGCGGTACATTATAAAAACACAATAACAACTTTACATATTCTTACAATTTACAATTTCTTCGGATGATAGATAATTTGTAACAATGTTTGCGTCATTCACCACTTGACGTTTTGACTTTCATTGTTTGAAAAACGCATTATCATAATCTGTATCGCTGCACTAGGCAAATTGCATCTCCGCATGTTGCGCTCGTTATCGCGCAATATGTTCATTACACATTAAGCCATCGGATCGTTTTAGTTATTCACCTGCTGACACGCCGAATATACGGCTTCTATTTTCTCATTAGCATCACTGTCATTCTTCAGACGACACCTGCCGTGATCGCACATGTGATGCGAGTTCGTTGTCAGACCGACATCGCGTTAAAAAAGTGCCAAGTGACACAAAATTTTCATAAACTTTGCTTGTGATAAACAAATATATTTGTTTGCAAACACTTGTCACAACATTTAATTTTATTTATAGCATTTTGATATTTTACGCGACGAAAATGACAGCGCAACGAATCTTTCTGTGAGTATTTAAATTTTGTTCTATTTTTCTGGATCTAATATTTTGCACAGAGTAATACAATAAATTAGTTTTGTTTATAATTTGTAAAGAATTGTACACAATAGTTTCTTTAAAGTTGTATGAAATCCTTTGAAATATATATGAAATGTATATTAATCGCAAATTGATTCGTGTTTAGGAATCATTAAAAAACACGTTCATAAAATTTTATTAAGAATGTTTTATCATTATATTGCTAGATACTTATTGACAGATTAATATAATTATTTATCAAAGAATGATGTTAATGTAATGCAGATAAATATTTTCAGACTATTTTAAAAAATAGCTTTCTTTAATTTAGATCTATAAATAATTACTGAATAGATGATATGTATGCATTTATGCGTACATAACATCTATTGTGTTGCGCATCGTGCTGCGCGTAAATAGAAAAGTCGCACTTAATTATCAATAAATCATATTCTTGCTAAAATTTGTGACGGAATTCTTTGCGCGGAGGATGGGCCATCGTTAGTCGAAGAGATAACTGTAACAATATTTGCACGATATTTAGTATCAGCGCGGCAAATGTCGCGTTGACAATTAAAGGTAAGCACGAAGATATATGCGTCGCGTGATTTGTTCGCGCTCATTAGGCATAAACATGAAACAGAATTATTTGGAAAGTTAAATTAAATCGATCGTGAAATAGCACTGATAAGTTATGACAGGTGTTTAACGGTTTAAAATTGATAAAGGAGGGAGATATTAAATATGTATTAAATTATATATGTAAGTTAAAATAACGGGGAATACAACGATACGGTGCATTGGTCTCTTTATCGCGTCTTGCGCAAATAATGAAAAGCTGACAAGTAATAAAGATTATAAATCTCTCACGTGCTAACTCACCCACTTCCGTCACATATCTTCACGAGAGCCCATGAATTATGTAACATCGTTAAATAAAGTGCTAAGTTTTATTATATGATTAAATAAAAAATAAATTTTACTTTGCGTAATCGTATGCAGATGTTTAAATATCATAATGAACTGTAAAGTTAATCTAAATTTCATTAAAAAACATGCCATTGCGATTATTTTGCAGCTATTCGATTTCTCAAAATTTCTCGCGCGGTTATACAATAAAATCATTTCAATTACAGAATCGCATTTTTCTATATATACGTACATTTCTCGCATGGTTTTACGAATGACGACGATATTTGTTATTGGCATCATCCACAGACCAACGATTATCCCGAATGTGATTTTCTGAAAAGTCGGCAACGTCTCGTTTGTTTCAATGGTCTTAAAGACGAATGGAAAGAAAAGTAAGTAAATTGATGCTGAAAAATAAATTTAAAATATAAATTCTACACTTTCGGACATTCCCTTAATTATCGAGTTAGAGAAGTGTTCATTTCTCGACACGAAATTAAAGTATTTGAAATTTGCGATTGCAATTTGATACATTGTCTACGATAATATCACATTGTGGATGACATTGAATTTTTAGGGCTGAAAATGTGCAGATTCTTATTCTTTGCGAGTGGCCAAAAGCAACGTTTGATCCGCATGAGGTTTTACGGGAATTCACATCCTTGCGAAAGTTAATAATCACGAACAGTAATTTAACTCAATTGTCAACTGCATTTTCGATCAATGCGCAATTACTCGAGGTAGAGAAATGCTTGTCAAATGCTCGGAGAACAATTGAGAACTTTGTGTTTAGAATTTATTAAAATTGCTTATCCGAATTTTCATGAACAATGACATAATAATAATAATTATAACATTATTTCGTCGTCTACCGATTGTCAGAGAATAAAATAGAAACTAGCAATTTGTATCGAAATATATTGATCATGAAAATTCGTTTTTATACAAGATATATCTTATGCACATATGTATTTTATCTTGAGAATATTTATAAAAACTTGGTGGGGAGGTGTTTATATTAATAGAAAATCAATGTGACCGGCACCAAACTGCATACATTTCCTAAAGATGCGTTTTCTAATCTGCGATCTTTGAGATATCTTGACTTAAGAAACAATGCTCTCGAAGAGATCAACGTAACAGCTTTCAATATGCCTGCATTAAAACATGTTCTTCTGGCTGGTAAGAACGATTTCATGAAGTTTTTACGAGAAGCTCAGAGTGTCCGTCCATAAATGTCTGAGCAAATATCTCACAACTGATTGAAGTTTCAAGAAAGTTTAGTAAGAGAAATTAACACAGTTTTTAGTCCGAAATAAAGCGCACGTAAAAAAAATTTTTTTGCTTGTAACCTTTTCCAGTTATGAAGATCATCATCATTTTTTTAAATGGAACCTCCTATTTTTATTGCATATTCTTATAGCTTTTTTTGAGACCTTTTCAAAACATTGTAATAAAATATTTTTAAGTATTTTTCGACTTATTTTATATCTTAATCTGACATATTTAGATATAAAATACATATTTTGTGCATATTATGTATTTTATATCAAAATATGTCAGATTAAGATATAAAATAACTCGAAAAATACTTAACGAAAAAATATTTTATTATAATGTTTTGAAAAAGTCTCAAAAAAGCTATAAGAATATGCAATAAAAATAGGGGGTTTCATTTAAAAAAATGATGATGACTTTCATAACTTGAAAAGGTTACAAGTAAAAAATTTTTTTTTACATGTGCTTTATTTCGGACTAAAAACTGTTCATTTTTCTAACTAAACTTTCTTGTAACTTCAATCAGTTGTGAGATATTTGCTCGGACATTTATGGACGGACACTCTGTATAGATCTAGATCTTAGTCAAAATGTACATACATTCTATTCACACACAAAAACTTTTATAAATACAAACAATGAAAAAATTTGATTAAAATTTATATTAAACTATTTAAAATGCTGTAATATTTTTTCTTGTAATTACGGAGATATTTAGTCCTTGAAGCGACGAATTGTTTAATCAGGGAATCACATTCGATTAATGTGCGCGTCATGGATAATTAATGAAGATATACTGACGAAGGTAATCCATTGAGATGTACGGAGGATACAGCGTGGATTTTGGACCCCAACGAAGGATCAGCCGCGAGCAAAGTCGTCGACAAAGACAAATTACTTTGTGCTACGCCGTATGATGGAAGACCGCTTCTCCCGATCGTCGAGATAATCGCGGTAACGAGAAAATACACTCTTCTCTTGCAACTGAAAAGCTGGGTAGAATGTATATCAAATATCTTGTATATTAAATTCCGCATATTGACTGCGTCAATTTGATTTTCAGACGTTAAAAAAGGAATGCAAACAAACAGTTTGTGATTGTGAATTGATTTATGTCGTTGGACGTGCGGGCAACAGAGAGTTTACGCATAGACAGCTTATAGCTTTTACATCAGTCAATTGTAGCCATCGCGGTTTAACTGAAATGCCCAATTTTTTACCCGCGAATACGACAACCCTTCGCCTAACCGGAAATAAGGTTCTATTATCTAATTCTCGTTATTTTTATTCTCGTTAATGATGATTTGATCTCATATAAATTAACATTATATAGATGATGTCACATGAAATATAAATAAAAATGAATTGCAGACAGAATACATTATATATTTTTGCGAATATGTTTTAAACAATAGATATCAATATGAATCTATTATATATTTTTAAGTATTTCAAATATAAAATATTTTACTCTTTCTCTTACTTTTCTTATATAACGCATATATATATATATATATATATATATATATAGTATAC